AACCCATATATATATATATATATATAATGAAACGAAAAAATGAAAAATGAGAACAAAATAGAAAATGTGGACTTAAAGGAAATTTTAGAAAGTTATGATGATATTTTTGCAAAACATAAGCATGATGTGGGAGAAATCAAAATGGAACCCCAAAGAGTCAGGTTAACCTCAGATTTACCTATATCTCTAAGGCTTTACAAAACATCCCCAAAACAACAACAAGAAATTGATGTACAAAAAGAAGTATTGTTAAAAAATAACATTATAAAAGAAAGTTTCTCCCCTTATACTGCCCCTGTAACTAGTCTTCAAAAACGATAAAAAATCAACACATAAAAGATATCGTTTATGTGTTGACTTCAGGAAATAGAACCAAATTACAAAAACAGATTCTGAACCTCTACCTTTAATTGAAAAATGGTCTAATAGTAGTTATTATTCTAAAATAGATTTATGACAGGGATATCATCATGTTCGTATTCATCCTGATGACACTGAGAAATTAGCATTCGCTACTCACAATGGTCTATTTGAATACTTAAGATTACCTTTTGGCTGGAAGAGTGCACCAAGCATCCTTCAACGTACAATTCGTAGAATTGTAAATAAACATAAAATAAAATTTGCTACAAACTATTTTGATGATATTATATTTTCTAATTCTTATGATGAACATTTAACCCATCTTAAAAAGATATTTGATATTTGTGAACAAGAAAACTTGAAATTAAAACTTTCAAAATGTTCATTTTTGCAAAAACAAATAGAATTTTTAGGATATGAAATAAGCAATGGGGTTGTATCACCCGATAACCATAATATTGAAGTGATTAAAAAATTAATGCCCCCTAAAAATGTGAAATCATTGCACAGATTTCTTTGATCAATAAATGTTTACAATAAATCTATTGATAGTTATGCAAATATTCGACATCCTTTAAGTAACTTGTTAAAGAAAGATGTAAAATGGGTGGGGTCAGAAAAGGGTCAACAATCTTTTGAACTTTTAAAAAATGCTATTATTTGTAAACCAATTTGGAAAATTTTTAATCCTAATCATGAATGTCATATTTTCGTTGATGCATCGTTAGTTGGAATTGGTGCTGTGATAAATCAGACAGATGAATGTGGTGTATTGCATCCAGTAGCTTTTCATTCTCGTTCCTTAAGGGACTATGAAAAAAACTATGCAATCACAGAACTTGAATGTCTTGCTATAGTAGATTCTTTAAATAAATTCCATCATTACCTGTTTGGCCAAAAATTCGCAATATATACTGACCATGCTGCTTTAGTTTGGCTAAAAAATGTAAAAAATTTAAAAGGTAGGTTATTTAGATGGTTCATTATTGTTAAGTATGTATGAATATGATATTAAATACACAAATGGTTCTATTAATTTTGAAGCAGAATGGCTTTCGAGAGATGCAACACATTCACTAGTCAAAATCAATAGTAAAGAAACAGTTAATAAATTGTTCAAAAAATTTTTTACTTCTGAGGCATAAAAATTTTAGTATCGCTTAAAATTTTTTTCAAATAGGGCTTCCGTTTGCCTTCTCCACATAAATTACGGAAGATAACTTTCGAGATGTCGTTCCTCTGTGTTTCGTATTTCGCCCACAGTCTCTCTATTTTTTGGGTGTGTGTTCCAGTTTCAAAATGTAAAAAGTTATATTTATGGTTCACTTTGAAATGTTCGAAACTTTCATCGTCCAGCTTACTAGTGCAGTATGATTTCTATGAATCGGAATATATTATAGTTTCGATTTCGATATTTTCCTTAATTGCCTTGAAAGTGTTAGAGGATCGGTTTGGCACCTCCACATGGAAACATTCGTTCGTTTCCCGAAGATCTGTTTTGTTATGGAATTGCATCCATCCCACATTGCTTTTTCGCTTCGCAAACAAACTTTCGTCCACTTCGTCGATCGTATCAGGTCCTCCTACTTCTCGTTGTTCATGTTTAAGAAAAGAATTCACGCAAGTATTCCAGTCTACAACTATTCCATGACTGATTCCCAACTACTTTTCACACCATTTAACTGAAGTAAATTCTTCGCTGCAACAATAAATTAACAATAATATTTTAGCACTGTAATGTTTACAATGTTTAAAACGTTTCGTTTCTCCACATCTACACTAGTAAAATAGTACATCTTGAGGTACTAGTGGAATTTCAAATTTTTGATCGAATCGATATAAGAAAAAGTTTCTCAAACAGCAAAGAATTAACATGAAATTTCCCTCCTTTGTAAGTTGTGTTATTAAATTTAAAATAAATTTGTATTTTATTTTACAACTATGTAATTTGACGGGGAGTCGATGTTTTATCCCCATGTGAGCATTTTTATTCTTTATTCATTCCTAAATTTTAATAACTTTTTATTCATTCCTAAAAATAGGATCCTGAATTCTGCACTTTTTAAACATGCTTCTAAAACTTGTTCACAAAAAAATCCTTATAAACTCTTTTTAGCAGTTATCAATTATTGGTATACTGTAATAAACATCAAACTTTAGAACATTTAATTTAATATATTTTTTTAATAATAATTTCTATTGAAAAATTATCCCATTATTAAAAAATTAAAAATGTTGCAGTTTGTAATGGGGCTTAAGACATCACAGTTAGACAAAGTCATCATTTTGCTATTAAAAATTAACTAATAATAAACACTAAATAAGTAAAGATTAAAAATTAGCTTGTATAATGAAGAACATGCTGATAATATTATTTTTTTTTTTATCTTCTCATGAGAAAAAGTTAAATTTTGAACCCACTTTTTCTTTAGTTTCTTCTTTTAGAATCCGTAACTGGTGATACCGTGTGTCCTAAAAATTACCGTCAATCGATTAAATAACAGTGAAATCCGAAGGAAATATTCAGTTAACAGCATTTTGTTCGTTCATGAAACTAGTTGCTATCTCATCAACAGATGGTTAATTTTGAAAAGCTATATAGCATGATTTAAAAATAATGAAAAAGCTAAGCAACCAATTGAAGTAGTCTGAGAAAAAAGATGCAAAAATTGGAATGGTTTGATTTACTTTGTTTCATATTTGCATAATTTATTTTTTAATAGCTTGATAAACATTGTTTTATATTTTTTCTACGTCATCTGCTGGAAAACTTTATTACTAATTTTGAAATCTAGTAAGATTAAATTAGCTTCAGCAAAATGTATTTTCTTATGTCCTAGAGTTGTCAGACATTTTTGGGATTTAAAATATTTTATTTTTGCTTACTTAATCAATAGAGCACATTCAGCTTTCATATATATGTTTCAAAATTTTTTCAGTGTATAACATTCAGAGTTATATTATACACATTCAGCTTAAGCTGTTAGGGCAACGTCAAGTTAATCTGTTTTGTTTTTTTGTTTGTTGTTTTTTTTAAACAAAGGAAAAAATGTTTTAGCTTTGGTTTCTAACATGATGGCAACATCTTATTGTTTTTATATTCTTTTTGATGTAAATAAAAGTTAAGTTTTCAGTTTGTTCTACGTGACTTTCAGTCTGATTTGCTCTCAACAAAATCCAACAATGACTAGAACAAAATGAAGTTAAAAAAAATATTTACATTATTTCCTTGTAAATCTGGATACGAAATGATTATTTTACTTCTCCTTATTTGTTCGTATTGAGTTTTGTTGAATTTTCCGTGAGCACCTAAATGAATCTTGATATTACCGGGATGAGGATATCTAAAATTAAAGTTACATAAAATATGAGTTATTACAAGAAAACAAAAAAAACAAAAATTATGAAAATCCTTGATGGTCTTAAATTTTCACAATTATAAATTTGGATATAATTAGTATTCATAATTGGAAATAACTATTGAGACTTATCAAGGCAACAATTTTAACATGCTCCAAAAATATCTTAAAATTTCATTCATAAATATTTGTGCAGAGTCGCACTTTATCTGGCAAGATAATATTATTAATGAGGGTTTTTCATACATATATATATATATATATATGTCAATTAGAGTCTTAATCACTAAGATTATCCGTTTCACTTAGAAACTACTCGGACAGACAATTCCAACTGACTCTCTTCATTTACATCAAGAAAGTTCTATGCCTTTCGTTCAGACGAGCGACATCTGGCGGGATAACATAGAGGTTGTTGTCTCGCTTATTACATTCTCGGCCATTTTGACGGGTTTCGTCCTCGAAACAGAATGACTAAAAAAAATCTGAAAAGAGAAAAAAAAAAAA